AGAACGACTTAAAAGTAAACTATATAAGAAGTAGTAATACCTAAAAAATTGTAGTAGTGATTAAGAATATATGATAAAGAGAGTACACAAATTTGTTTATATCATTAATTAAGTAATATGTTTCATGTAAATTTATTATATAGTCTGAATTAACAGATGGAGATGAAATAATAACCTTTCACTAAAAATATTTATTCAAGATAAATTTTCCACTAGATATGTAATATGAGAAAATCACTAAAATAATTTCACTGTGTAATATATAGGTATATTATATATATATCTTTTATTATTAATCTATATTATATAGATAGATATATTATTAGGATATATTTTGTAAACAAAACGTAATATATATAACATATAATAAGATGCATCTGTGCATATGTGTCTATATGTGTATTACGGGTTTATTGGTAGTGTTTGGTACCATGGAAAATTTGACCCGTTAATAAAACAATATTGACTTCAGAACGATAGAAAAATATATTTATTAAAAATTTCGAGGAAATGTTATTATTAATTTCGAGGAAATTCAATTATGCGAAACTTAAGTTCGAATAATACATAAAATATGAAAAATAAAATCTTTTTTAATTATTAAATACATAAATATATCATATTTTGTGCAAGTACAAAAACCGAAACAATTCGAAAATATTAAAATCTGTGTATACATATTCGATAAATAAAGAAAATATATTATATACACCTCTATATCTACAGTATAATGAAAATGTTCTGTTTCATTGTAAAACTGTTATAAACAAGTATCGATGGTATGAATTGTGCATGAAAGTCAAGAAACTGCATTACGATATCTCTGAGTTCTGAGCACAAGAAAATACGATAAACGCTCGCCAAACACGCAAATCATCTCAGAAAGGATTTCAAGATGCTCATTCCATTGCTGAAGGAATATCATATGAGCCAGGAATCGTTGATTAAAAGTAAGTAAGAAAATCACTTTATAACCCAAATAACCGGATACTTACTTTCTTTTGCATTTTTCTCGAAATTACAATTTTCGATCTAACTGGAAAGAAATCTCGGAAAATACCAGGTTGATTGTCTTGAAATTTGGATATTATACTCTCAAATATATTATCTATAATATAGCATTTGATTTTTATGATACATTAATTAGTTTTTTAATATTAATTATTCTATTGTCAAATTATTATGCAAAAGTAGTATTTCTCAAGATAAAACAAATTTGATTGTATGTTATCGTATTAGAAAATACGATGACCATTTAATCGCAAATGTTTCTGGTTTACGAATGAAACGATAGTTTTCGGAGATGAAAATAGGAAGCGTGAAATCAACAGCATTTAATCTGTCATCGTTAATAGAAAACTACAACCGAAAACTACAAGAGCAATGTCAGCACATCCAGCATGTACTTCTGCAATTGCTCCAGACCAAGTTTTTTCTTTTGGATTCCACCTTCCATATTCTTCCATTTCAGAGACAATGTCGAAAGTAAAATTGAGAGCAGCACTAAGCTCATTTAATATTTTACCGAATAAACCATTTAATTCTCCATTCTTCTTTATGCTAACGAATGTTGTCTCCTAAGGGAAAAAAGAGTAAAAAGAAAAAGAAGGAAGTTAAATCTTTTTTAATAGAAAATAGAGTAAGCATTTAGACGAAACTGCTTTACCTTGAGTGCAACAGCTCTCATAACCAAACCCTGTAAATTATATCTTCTTTCGTAAAGAAAATCTGGAACTAATTTAATGATTCCTTTTTCTAAGCTCCACGTTGCTATATCATTAATCTCGAGTAGATTAGTATCGATCGAATACCATTCTCGTAAAATATTTTCCGTACCACAACGAACCAACATTACTGAGTTGAATCTTAAATGAAATATATTACCTGGTGGATTGTGACAATAATCGGAACTATCTCCTTTGTAAATGAATATCACTAGCCACACAGCTAAAGACATCTCAAAAGAACTTGCTGCTAAGGAAAATTCGTTAATCGTGTTGTAATTAGGGATTATTACAATGTAATACGGTCGTACAATTTCTTTTACGTAGTACGATGCTTCGTGCAATTGTGAAAAGCGCAAGTTTGTGCTCGCAATACCTTCCCGAGAAAGTGCACGCGTCCATTTAAATACCATCGTTGACATTTCCATTTCTGAGGAACATGAAAATAAATATGATAGAAATGAAGAAAAGAGAATGAAAAATATTTTTACCTTTTATCGATTCGGCATATAAAAATACTACAGATTTCGGTCCGTATAATTTGCAAATATCTATGAGAAATGGAGTTTGTTCGTCGCTGATAGTATAAAAATTAGTCGAACTTGCGGTTTTCAGAAGAAAAAGAAAAAAAAAAAGAAAAATTTTCAATGACACAACCAACGCCATTTTTTTGTTTGTCGATTTAATAATTATAGTGCTATATTTCAATTTGAATATATCAACGACTACGTTTTAAAGAAATCGGGAAAATTTCAATCCGATTACGAAAGAAGGTCGCACAAGACTACAATTCTAAACTATTGAGAGAATTAATGTGACTTAGATTATAATGAATATCGTGTAGATCGGAAGTCACGCGATGTTCATATGCATATTAGTGAGAAGAAAATGATTTTATCTTTACTGGTATTGATTTATCCTTAATCGATTTTGCTTGTCTTCATGTGTCTCTGAAGACCAAAAACATTTTTAAATATTTTAAATGAGAGATATTTAAATATCCTGCTTACAGTTTAGATTTGGATTCGAACGATTACCACTTTTTTACTGAATTTAGAGAGTTCTTGGAAGAATTATGTTCCCAGAAAATAGTGATTTAAAACGTGGTGTGCAACGATGTCTATATATATCTAAAATGTTTACAAAAAATCATTTAACGAAAGTATTTCTATTCGACAAGATCGAAGATGATACTTTAAGAATATTTTTGAAAAATTTGATCGAATAATTTGAAAAATAAACAAAGTTACAGTCGTTTGAAATGGTATTTGTCGAGCTTCGTAACTGGCAGATGAATAGCTCGTTATTATCGACTGGCCTGTCTTTGAAAAAGTAAAAGAAATTTCTACCTGAATATTTTAATTTAGTAAATATATTTAGATGAGTTTGAGTATTCAGTCATCCGCAATTTTCAAAATGAATCCATTGATAGTTACAAAAGAAGAAAATAATGATTTACAATATAGCATAGTGTTTAACAATGATTAAATGATCTTGCAGCTAAAGTATATGTTGAAAGTATGAAAAAAACTCATCCGACGTTTAAATAAAAGTTTATTAAATAAGTACAGCGAATGTATTACAAAATAACTATGTATATACTTACAAATAAAATGATGTTATAAATATAGAATACTTTTTAAAATATATTTATATAGTTGTCATTTCTAAACGGCTATTGTTTTTTAAATGACCTTTATATATATATATATAAGCATTATATTTTAATAATTCCTTAGCCGTAAATGGGAGCGTACCGTAAAAAATTATTATAGTCGGTTATAAATATGTTTAACGAAATATGCAAATTTAATTATAACATTAATTATATAATATGTTTCATGTAAATTTAATTTAAAATTTGTATGAAAATATACAATAAAAATGCAAAAATATCCTATTATGTGGTAATTATTTCACATCAATTATTCGTTGCAGATGTAATATCGAAAAATCTAATATTTCTTAAATATTTTCATGCTATTATATCTATATATTATACGATGAAATTGTTTAAGGAATGATTTTCTGATATTACAATTGTAATGAATATGAAATGAATACATTCTCAAAGGATATTTTTACGTTTTCGTTGTATCTGTTCATACAGAATGTAAAATAAATTTACACGAAATATGTTATCTCATTAATGTTAAAATCAAACTTGTATACTCTGTATTCCTGTCATTTAATCGATATTAATTTTTTACAATAAGCTCCCTTTATTTCATAAGGAGTAATTAAAATATAATGCTTATCTATACATTTTAACAAAGATATACTAAAATGTAGTACCAATTTGTAATTACGGCGAAACAAATGTATTTTCAAAAGTTTTGTTTATTTGAATCATCTCAATATCTAACAACTCAGCTATTTTCTACTATAATTGTTGCAACTATTTAAACACAAAAAGCAATAGCCTTCTTGGAGTTATTATGCCAGTGGCGTAATAAATATACAATAAAAACTTTTTCTTATCACAATAAACGTATATCAAGAATATTTTCATTCATACATGAAATTGTAATATTTTTGTATTAAGTATGAATAAAATTATTATAATTCCATTATAGAATCCTATAATCTATTATAGAAATGGATAAAAAAAATTCATTAGTGTTATAATTTTGCTTCAGAAAACTGTTTTATCTACAAACATTGAACATACTAAACATAAAAGCGTAGCGTGACAGAAACGCCATTTTTAATAATACCCATGTCGACAAGCATTAATTATTAATGAGACAGATATGAAATTTCCGATAGTTAAGTCATAATAGCTATTACATTAATGTATGGACGATCGGGTTAGGATGCTCCGTACATTTATTGATTAAAATTGCTTCGCCATCAACCTATTCAGTGATTGTCAGTTATTATATTATTATTTATTATTATATTATATATTATTATTTGAAAAAAATGACCAAAGAAGAATTAAAAAAATAAACGTTTCGCGTAAGTCGAAAAAAATTAAATTTCAAAACTATTTTAGTGTGATTTTACATGTACGATAAAGATTTGTTAAAAAAAGCTGAGGAGAAACTGAGTTTTACCTTGAAATTCAAAGTTAAATATTGATGTGCAACGTATTCAATTCGTCATGAGGATAAACAATTTCAAAGGAATCATTAGTCGGAATTCAACGTTCTCTTGAAAAATAATTTTACATAATGTTTACATTAACAAATAGATATAAAGTTGAAAATGCATAAAAAAACAGTAGGAAACCACATATTATCTCCTAAGAAATGTATTGAAATTTAATGAGAATTAGTAAATAATGATTGCATCCAGAAGAAACGTCATATCAACATAATTTTCAGCGTAATTTTTAGTAAATTTTAGAACAATAATTTGACTATCCAAATATAATCTTCAAATTCATTAAAAAATTTTAATCTGAATATAAAAATTCATTGAGCACATATATTATTGTTATCGTTGATATTTTATGTAAGCACATTTACTATTTACATAATTTTTTGCAATATTTTTAATAACTTTTTTCCTCTTTACATACAATTCTGACAACTTAATCGACGGGATACGATTTAAAATCGACATATTCTTCCTTTTACATATGAAAATACATTTTTCTACGATTAATATACAAATACTCAAAATGATACCAATTAACATAAAAAGAATAAGTGATATTACGTCGGTTAGGAGAACCGGTTGGTGCTTGATCATGTCATCGGTTTTCTTTGTAAATATCGTTTCTTTTAAACGATTAATCATACCATTGTAGAGAAATCTCCGCAACCTAAAATATACTAGTGCCTTAACGTACGATAATTAAAAATTTACATTATTAGATTTTTGTGTTCTTACTGAAAATTGATGACGTCGGTGAATGAATTGTGCTTAGATAAAATTATAGCAACACTATTCACATCTCCTGTTTCAACACATATCAGATTACATGGTATTATATTACCTATACTCTTTTTCATATCGTCAAACGTGTAAAAAGCTAATTTTGGATTTTTACAAATCTGTAATTAATTAACGGATATTAATAATAAAACTATGTTAAAAATGTAACGAAACTAGCAAATAAGAGTTCAGGAATGTATTCGTCATATATAGAGGAGAAAGTATTAATATGAGTTCGGAATTGCTTAATTTTGAAATTACAAGACTTTCAAGTAAGATCTTAGGGCTCTCCAAATTAAATTTATTTGCTACAATTATGATAGATTCAATATTTAAATAATAAATTTCAACATTAATAACGTTGAATATTAAATATATTCTGTATAAAAAGAAATTGAATAGACGCGTAACATATTTGTATATAATGTAACAAATATCTTAGATTTTATTCCAGCAAATAAATTAAACATTATAGCAGTACACTAATTGTAAGATTAAGAGCAATATTCTTTCTCCTCTCCCATATAAATAATATATTCCCGAAGTTTTACATCGTAGATTCTTTATAACCTGTTCATGTAAATGTTATTTCTATTATATACATTTATATACATATATATATATATATTCCCTCGTACCATATTAAATCCCTCAAGAGCAGTTAAAGGTAATTTTTTCTCTTCTAGCATCAACTTCATTAATTTCTTTGCAATCGGATTATTCGAATTCTACAAATAAATATATTTTTTGTCTTCCTGTACTTCTTTTGCATACTATAACGTAGGTTATATACATATACATACAATGACGTATGTATCATACTTACTGCAAATTTATCATAATAAGATGTACCACGTAAGACGGCAAGTTGATATGTACCATCTTGAAGGAAGCTCTCTAATGAATCAAAGGGTATGATGTGCAAAACGGTCGTTAAATAGCTTATTAAAGCCGCTGAATAGGCGGCCCAAAAGACAATAATCAAAAGAAATATAGAGAAGTATGTTATTCTTAACGAAAAACTACCAGAAAAATCTACAACAAAGGAATATTTTATGGAAATATAATTATTAAAAAAAAAAACAAAACAAATAAAACATAAATCAAAAAATATTGAATCAAACCTTCGATTCCCTGTTGACAAAATATGGCCCAAATATCTAGAAAATTATCAGATAATAAATGTCTTATTTTACATATATTCCCACTTATTATTTTGATAGAAATCAATAAGATCGATGCAGTAATTAACAATCCAAACGTAGTAATCCAAACCGAATTAGTAAAAGTCTATAAAAGTGACAATTTTATGATTGATAGAAGTTAATCTATGCAAAATAAAATAATCAAAAATTCGACCGCAATCGTACTGAATAGTAAGATGTCCATTTAATCGCATGCCTTTCTGGTTTCCGAATGAAGAGACAATTTTTGGAAGTGAAAATAGGAATTGTGAAGTCAACGGGATTTAATCTCTCATGGGTAATGGAAAATTCTGCAAGAGCAATGTCAGCACGTCCACCATGTACTTCTGCAATTGCTCCAGACCACGACTTTTTCCTTGCATTCCATCTTCCATGCTCTTCCATTTTCGAGACAATATCCAAACTAAAATTAAGGGTAACAGAAAGTTCTTTTAATATTTTACCGAATAAACCATCTAAATCTTTATCCTCCTTTACTCTTACGAATGCTGTATCCTAATGGAGAAAAGAAGTAAAAAGGAAAAAAATGAAGTTAAATCTTTTTTAATAGAAAATAAAATAAGCATTTAGACGAAAATGCTTTACCTTGAGTGCAACAGCTCTCATAACTAAACCCTGTAAATTATATCTTCTTTCGTAAAGAGAATCTGGAATCATTTTAGTGACTCCTTTCTCTAAACTCCATGTTGCTACATCATTGATCTCGATTAGATTCGTATTGACCGAATACCATTCTCGTAAAATATTTTCTGTATCACAACGTACCACCATTTCGGTGTTGAATCTTAAATTAAATATATTACCTGGTGGATTGTGACAATAATCGGAACTATGTCCCTTGTAAATGAATATCACTAGCCACACAGCTAAAGACATGTCAAAGGTACTTGTTGTTAAAGAAAACTCATTAATCGCGTTGTAATTAGGGATCACTACGATGTAATACGGTCGTACAGTTTCTTTTACGTAGTACGATAATTCGTGCAATTGTGAAAAGTGCAAGTTCGTGCTCGCAATACCTTCCTGAGAAAGTGCACGCCTCCATTTAAACACCATCGTTGTCATTTCCATTTCTGAGGTACATAAAAATAAATATAATAGAAATGAAGAAAAGAGAATGAAAAATATTTTTACCTTTTATTGATTCAGCATATAAAAATACTACAGATTTCGTTCCGTATAATTTGCAAATATCTATGAGAAATGGAGTTTGTTCGTCGCTGATAGTATAAAAATTAGTCGAACTTGCGGTTTTCAGAAGAAAAAGAAAAAAAAGAAGAAACATTTTCAATGACACTACCAACGCCATTTTTTTCGTTTGTCGATTGAATAATTATAGTGTTATTTTTCAAATTGAATGTATCAACGACTACATTCTAAAGAAAATGGGAAAATTTCAATCCGATTACGAAAGAAGGTCGCACAAGACTACAATTCTAAACTATTTAGATAATTAATATGACTTAAATTATAATGAATATCGTATAGATCGGAAGTCACGCGATGTTCGTATGCATATTAATGGAAAGAAAATGATTTTATCTTTACTGGCATTGATTTAGTACCGATCGATTGATAATTATCTTTTCATTTACCTCCCTTGTTGCATTTTTTCTTTTCTGCTATGTGAACATATGTGTGTGAGTGCATACATATACATACACCCAAACACGTCTATATATATTTCATTTTTCACGTATTTATAAACGCACATTACTCGTTTATATTTTTCTATATACGATAATAAAATTTTAAAGGATATTTGTTAAAATTAGAATAGTTGAAATTTCATTTCCCTTGAAAGAATCTAATAAATACTCTTATCGGTATTAACAAGACAAGTACTTAAAAATGACTTACGACTAGCACACTTTTGGGCAAGAATATACGAAATTTATAGAGAGAATATATAAGTCATTTCTTATAAACAATATCCGTTTAACTGTAGAAGCTATATAATGGATTATGTTTATTATATGTTATTTATTAAAGTTAACTTGAATCATCATTAGATCTACACATACCTTGTTCGGAAAGTTTTTCTTTTCGTTGTGTTCGAATTACAGATAGAGATGCATTTTTTAATTTTTCTTGTGACGACTAACTAGAATTATTTGAAAAATTCGGAGTATGATCTTTGCTCAAAAATTATAATGAGATTCTATTGTTTATCAGTTATATTTAAAGATTTTTACAATATACTTATTAATATAGACGAGGATAGAAAAAAAATGGAAAATTCCCAATGGTTGAGTGTCTTGTACAACTCTAAAAGTCCTCGAAATGGCAAATATTTCGCTCTTCTTGATGATAAAAAACAAACAATGAATAAGTACAATTGCAAGAAATACTTTTGAAGAAATAATTTTTTGTATATCATCATAAGATATGGTGAACAATAACATTAATGTAATGAATGAGAAGGACACTTATATACGAAGCATTACATATGAAACTAAACGATATTATATGAAGGTAGACCGCAAAGTTAACAAATTTTGATGTAATCCAAAGAATTTATCCTTAAATGAACTTATATTATGAAATAATAATTATAGCGCAATGGCATGCATATTTTTTAATTTAATGTAAAATTTAATATTTAAAATTGAAACCTCATTTTTTCCATTAAAGTTTCAATTAAAATATAATTTATACAAATTATATACCCTTATATTAAAGAAATTTTTATTAAGACTTTGCACATTTTGTTAATAATAAAAAAATTCTCAATACAGTATTTTCTAAATTTATGTAATAGTTTGTGTATACTTTGATCAGATATTTAATAAGATTCTCATTACTCTACTATTCGAGTTACTACAAGAAATACTTGTTAATGAAGACTGTTTATCATCGCTAGAGAAACAATTAAACGATCATGTATTATGTCAAATTAAACGTAGAGTGATTGATTTACATTAAGAAAAAGATTTGTTATATTATAAATTATCAATTACTAAAGCGAATGACGTTACCCTTCTCATACCATAGTTAGTGATGATATCCAAATCAAAAATTTGATCGAATTTTGCATATTTCATCTTGCTCACCATTATCTCTCTCACTCTCTCTCTTTCTTTTTTTCAGGCTTTAATTATTCTTTCTGCGTTCCCATACGTCTCATGCCAATGAATTGATGGAGACCATATCGAATAGTTTCTCTTTTCGTAGATATCCGTTATTGCGTCGTAGATGTCAAACGAGGAAATTTAACCAATATTTACATTATTTAATACAGAATGCTTGGCATATTCCTCCTCTTTCTTTCATGCAATGATCAATATACTCGCAAGATTGAAGAGATCGTACTAGTTTTTTCAGAAAACATAAAAATCATGTTGACTAATTTATCTGATTTTAATGATGATATGCATACGTTATATATTGTAATGATTTATGTAAAAAACGATAATCATTTCCGTAAAACACCTTTAGTAAGAAAAAGTTCATTACATCTAAACATATAATTTTTTAAAGTCGAACGGTCAGCAAACCTAAATGAAACAGTCGCATACTATGCTTCTGATAGATTAAGTATAGCAGCCATTTGCGACAGTCAATTGTTGAAGCAGAAGGTTGATTATATAAGTCATTATTAAGGTTTGCTTCGACTTCCGCCCGAAGAGTGTTTGACAATCTGAAATTCCTGAATTCAATTATTACCCGATCGTGTCAACACCGTGTGGATTTGTTTGTTTCTTTCAATTCGTTTCATTAATTGGACTATTTCTAATTATATTTTTCCATACTAGAAGTATTTTGTCGACATGAATAATGGTGAATATTATAACTATGGCAGTATGTAAAATGTGGATAGGTGCATTAAAAGGAGATACAGTGACCACTTTGTCTATTCGTGGTTTAATAGAAAAATTTATACATTCGACCTAAGTGTTCTGATTTGAGAGAGAGAGAGAGAGAGAGAGAGAGAGAGAGAGAGAGAGAGAGAGAGAAAAAGAGAGAGGGAGAGAGAGAGAAAGAATGCAAAAATTCATAATTATATTATTCCAAGATAACTTTTCACGAGCAATATGTACTACGCTCATAGCCAGAATCCCTTGATACATAATTGTCACAATTGTAAAAACTGATCATACGTACATTCCTTTTCTTCTTCATACTCTTACTATGTTATCCTCTCTTTCTCTCTATCACTCACTCCATCTCCCTCTAACACATCATGATCCACACAATCTTTCTCTTTCTCCCTCTTTCTCCCGTTCTTTACCATTCTTCGACTAAGCAGTTAGACATTTTAAAGATGTTACACATACTTTTACATTAAAATCTTATTGTTTCATCAGATTTCTTTTTCATGATTTCTCTAATTGGCGGTTAAAAAGTAAGGTGTATAAACAAGATGAAATCTTTGTTATAGCATTCTGTTGTATCGTTCACAATAAACATGAATCGTATATTTTTCAAAAAAAGATCTTTATGGAGATATTGTAATATAAATTTACCGGCAATAGCATCAAATGTAGTAGTATAAAGTTTAAGTATCAACTCGTATTGATACTTTAAGGCTTGCTTTGACTTCCACCAAAAGAGTGGATTAAAATATACAATCCATGTTAAAAGCGGCTACTATAATTTATGGTATATAATTTGTATGAGATATAAAAATACATATACGGAAGAAATGTAAGCTATGATAGCGATCAGAATGAGTATTAATCCACATGATTACCAATATAAAACACTAGGTATGAATGCGAGAGAGCACATCGGTTGTTTTAATTTAGGAATATCGTACATCGAGTGTCGAACGAATGAACAGATGAAAGTTTGTTTGGTTCATGGCGATATAAATAAATTGAAAGCTGTTAAATAGTACGGCATTGGACGTGTAATTAAAAAATAATTTTTTAAAGGTGCGTTGCACTTCTCCTACGGTGGTCAATGGTGACGGTCGACTTGCACAAAGAATATTTTTCTAATTCTACATATAGTTAGAATTTTACATATAGACAACATTTCCTATATATTGTTATTTCCAAAATCAGCGTTTATTGTATATCTATGTATATAAGAAATATTTTTCATGAATGAACATAGGAAATAATTGCTTTTTGTATAATGAATAATATAATCACTGTTTATTACGCCAAAATTAGAAATTAAAGTAGATATATATATATATTCAAGTAACAAGCTCATAGAAAAGATGATTTTCGTAACATATTCGTATTATTTATGACATATGAATTATTAATATTCCAATAAAGAATTAATTAAAAACCGTTTTATAAAACGATATTCAGTTATAACATCAATTGACTGTCGTAGATAGCTGCTATAAGCAATCTATCAGAAGTTTAGTACGTGACTATTTCATTCAGGGTTTACCGACCTGTCCAGTTCAAAGAATAATAGGAAATGATTATCGTTTTATGGTGCATTCTACATAAATCATTACAATGTATAACATATGTATACCATTATTAAAATCAGATAAATTGGTCAACATGATTTTTATGTTTTCTAAAATAACTCCATATGTGCTGTCTCAGTATTTCGATCATTGCAAGAAAGAAAGAGATAGAACGTTAAGCATTCATTATTAGATAATGGTTAAATTTTCACGTGTGGAAGCTGCGATGCAATAACCAAAATCCACGAAAAAAGAAACTATTCGGTATGATCTGTGACAATTGTCGGTGATTGCATGTTTAATTATTATGTTATCATTGTTTTCTCCTCCTCTTATTTCATATCTCCTTCATTCTATTTCACTCTCACACTTACACTAACACACAAAGTAGTAGATTAAATATTTTTATTTGCCGAATCAAGCATTCCTACAAACTGACCATTACACTAAAAATATATTTTTCATTATACATTTGGCACATGCCTAACCCACCGGTTATTATCTAGATTTCTTTCATTGGTTATTCGTGTTTATTAAATACTCTTGATTTAATGAGTAATTCTATCAGAAGATTTAATGAGACAGAGGAAAAAAATTACTATAATACATACAATACAATTTTAGTTCTCATCTTTTTTTGTACTAATCAAGGAAACTTATTTATTTTCCAAAAACAAAAGCCGAGGACATTTCTAAATTTTTTATTCGAATCAACGTACGAAGGAGAAAAATATTCAGAGCAAAGTATTCGGGATGACATCTATACGATAGCTACAGATATAAGTCGCATTTATTATATTTAGAGACAATAAAATTTGAATATTCAAGAACGTACATCCATATTATACTGTCACAATGAATAAGGGTGGCGGCACTAGGTTAGGATACCGTTGTAAGCCGTCAGCAAAATATCACTCGCCGCGTTCCCGCATATTAATAGGAGACCGCGTTTTCTTTTAAAGAATCCCGTGAGAAATGTTATAGAAGTAATTGCGCGATATTAAATGATACGTGCTATGTAAATCTCACTGTGTATTTGATTAAATGAGATACAATTGTTTGTGTGTCTCGTGTATGATGTGTAGTTAGTTGTACTGGTTGCTTCTGAAGGAGGTTTAAAAGCATAGATGTTGTGAATCTGAAAGATGTAACTTGACTGCTTTCTTGGCCTCTTTAGAACTATCCACGCAGAGATTGGTAAAGGGCGGAGTTTGAATATGGAAAACGAAAGAATAAATGCCCATTGGTCGGGAATAATGTATAATGTGAAGGTGGACACCCGAAGGTGCCTGACCTATGCTTCCTCGCCTATTTCAGGCATACGCAACAAAATATCGTTCGCCTAGCCCCCCTTGATGTGCGAATGGTTCGAACCTGTTGAGGGGGAAGCCTTTCGACACATTTGGGTGAGAAAACACGCTTTCGATGCAGGACCTGGAAAAATCCCAGGACCGGAGGGCGAATCGGGAGGACAATTTCGCCATGTACCCTAAGGTACATGCCTACGGGGAAACGCGTGGAGGATACCCCATCGCTCGGCCTAGCGACGTCTCGGCTGTAGCCCGTCAGCATTTAATAGAAGAACGCGCGTGGATGTTAATCTAACTCACATGGTGATCGTGCCCCGAACACCTCGAAAGGAGTTCGGTCGATCTCCGCTGGCTGTATATCCAAAACCCATAGGGGTAGAGGCATTTCGATGCTCCTTGTTCCTAACACCAGGGACTATCCACCCATGTTCGATGGTGCTAGGGGTGCCGGCACGACGGGAATTGGTCGGGGATAGTTCGTTGGAATGTTTAAACATTCCGTGTGTGCTTCCTTTGTTCAAATGATCGTGTGATTAGAGTATGACGATGGATATTACAAAGCCAGAAGCCAGATAGCCCTTGGCTTATTGCGCCTAGGTGTCTACTTTCATTATTTACTTATTGGCCGGATTGACATATTATCAAATCCCAGATACTTTATTAAGAATGCCTAGGCCTAGACAAAAGTGGCCACGTGTTTTTATCTATGCATTTTATTAGTTAATACCCAATAGGTTCCCAATTAAATATTTCCAATGGTGACATATAACCAACCTGTAAAACAAAGTGTAAATATTTCCAATGATGATATATAACTCTTAAGACAAAGTGCCGCGAACAATGGAGAGACGTACGTATGCGTCAATATTTATATAACGGAAATAATTTTCATATTAACTTCTTATCATCCTTTTCACAATTTCGATCAGAAAGGATACGAGAAACTGAACCAAATCTACGGTTCGAACGATCCGAAATATGTTCCAATAACATATGGTGATATTAAAAGTATAAAATTGTTGGAAAGAGTGATCAAGGAAACATTCTCTTTTTTCTCCAGATCTAGTCATCGCTCGGAAAGTAAGAAAAGAAATATAGAAGATATTTCTACATATAAAATGATAAGTATTATATTTTGTTATCCTTAATAATTAATTAATGATATAATTTGTTATCGTTAATATTATTCAATAATAATATTTATTGATTAATTAAAGCAAGTTACAAAAAGTTGAACTATACCGAAAGGGAGTCCTATAAATTCTAAGAAGAAGTTGGAGTAAATTTGAATATTAAAATCAGCGGAACCAATAAAACTAAAATTTGAAAGAGGAAATTAATTAAAATATATATATGCATAACGAATTTTGTGCGTGTTAATCAGTAGCAAAAATAAATTAATAAACGTATTAAATAATTATTGGATAAAAACCGTCCACCAGAATCTGATAATTTCAAAATCACTTTTACTACTAATTTCGAATTTCTTATGAAATAGTGAAATCTCGAAACTGCATCCATATAGATTTTCTTCTCTATACTTTTTTTACCTTTAATACTATAAATTAATTAAAACACGGGGGTGGGGAGTACTATTCAATTTTAGAAATTCACTAATGAGCGAATAATATCTAAGTATATAGAATATATTAGTATAAATAATAAGCCTATAAAACTTCTCTTCCATTTGTTTAGGAATTTGTTCGCGTGTTGTATCTTACAGAAGAAACGTGTAAATATGTACAAGACAAGCCAAATATTCATAATTCTCTCTTCTTATTTCTCTACTTACTCTTCAGAACTTTCCAACGTAACTAACAAAACTGGTAAAGAGATACTATGCGTTTATTCGAAATAAACAATTCTTAAATATTTACAGAAAATGTTTTTTTTTTGTAAAAATAAGTAACGATAAAGGAAACAACCAGGAGATACGTTTCTTTATAAGTTTAATTTTAATAAAGCAATAAAACTTGCACAGCGTATGTAAAATGTTTTCTCTAATAAGTATAATTCAATTAAAATTTTTATCGACTTGATAGCATGACAGTATGGCAGTATTCACAACACCGATGATTCAATATTTTCCTTTGTAATAAAAAATCCTAAAAATGTTTAATTTTCTAATGTCCAGTCAACAAAAATATTGACAAACAAAACCGTAAATTTACTAGTAAAAAGTAGTAAATTTTATCTTTTTAATTATAATTTATCATATTAACAGATCAATATGATCTGTTACTATTTGGTAGAACAAAATGATATAAATAATACTATTTAGACAGTATAGGAATCGGTCGAGTTGGGCTAGGAGTGAAGTAGAGTCCGGATTTCGTGTTATGATTTTACGTTATAGTATCGAACAGTAAATTCAAGTTGTATGCAATTATTCTTGCCCGAAGTTTTAATTTTTCTCTCATTTGGAATAGACTTTCTATTATTTTCTGATAAGTAATTTTCCAGTATTATATTTCGAGAAAAAGCAGGAAGAATCTCGGCTTGAGCCGCATACTTACCTTGATATAGGATTTTAAATATATACCTCCCTCAGTTTCACAATTATATTATTTATGTTAAAGTACTAAATATTACATCTAATTGCGGATAAGTAAGTATATATATATATATATATATATATATATATATATATATATATATGGAAGATATATATATATATACATATATATATATATATATATACATATATATATATACATATATATATATATATATATATATATGTATATATATATATATATATATATATATATATGGAAGATATATATATATATACATATATATATATATATATATATATATATATATATATATACATATATATATATACATATATATATATATATATATATGTATATATATATATATATATATATGGAAGATATATATATATATACATATATATATATATATATATATATATATATATACATATATATATATATATATATACATATATATATATATATATATATACATATATATATATACATATATATATATATATATATATATATATATATATTACATATATATGGAATGTATTTTCCAAACGTATGATTTTCATAAGATAAGATTTTTATATGTCATATCTAATATCTCATTATATGCCATCCCCCAAATTTCGTCATGATAGGTCACCTATACCTACGGAACTATAGCCGAAATTTCTAACAATAATTCCTTCAAAAAATCAGATTATTTATTACTAATAGCTAATTTTTATGTTTAGTTACAATTAATTATTAAATTATTAATAAAAACTAAATAGAGACAAATTATGAAATTTTAATTATTAATAATAAAGGAATAATATATAATTGAATACTAGCTTATACATCTCTTGTATTAAACTTTTTTAATCTGATAATCTGAAATAGTAATTAATACGAATTGATTTGAAATAATTATTATTTATGTATATTTTCGTTAACACAAAATACAAACGATAAGAAGAATAAAAATCTATTGGACCCTTCAATCTTCGGTTATGTGCATACGTTTGAAAATTGAACGCGATGTACAGGTAGTGACCTTACTCTAAAATCGCTTAATTCAAATATGTTAATATTATTCAAATAACAATCATAAATATTGTTGACTTATATTAATTAATAACTTATTAATTAACTGTTAACCGATTATTAATGATTTAGCAATGATTAGATCTAATACTGTATAAACTTCTTATTTAAATATTAATTATTTCGTTTTTGTAAGAATATTTTGTATGAAAACGACGTGTAAGCTAACAATATTATTTGAACAATAAACAGAAAAATATTCATTATTGCATAATCCTGTTGAGTTACCATGTATAATACGTCGAATTGATATAAATAATTGATATATGAAAAACAATTCGACATGATTTACTTCAATTATTGATCATTACGTAAATATGTACGATAATTCATATGTGATAATCACATATACATGTTACTCCTTCTTTCTCTTATTTCATCTCGCTCTCTGACCCCTTCTTTCAGACCCATCTCCTATCACCCATTCTCTTTTTATCTTTGTCACCTTTTCTCGTTCGTCGCATAATTGATTTCTTTTTCCGATTGCTTTATTCGACAGCTTCTTTTATTATTCAGAACGCATTGTTATAAAATATAACATTAATAAGTGGAAAAATTTGAATAAAGAGTTTAAAAAACAAATCAAATACTTTTATTGATTCTTTTACATTTATTAATTATATGGAAAAGTCATTTGAACATTCATACCGACTTCTTAGGATGAGACGAAGATATCCTCTGTGCAAATCGGCTGTCTTCAATGGCCATTTCTAATGGCTGTAAAAATGTTTCTATTTAAATGCCTGCTGTTCATCAACAATCTATATTACAGTTACCCGTTTTACCAGAAATATCTAACGAAGATTACTATTTACCGCTTTTCGATAAAGTAGATTTCTTTTTGTTTTTTTTTTGTAATAGAGTAATGATCAAACAGTTATTCGTTATCGATTGATGATAATGTATCAGTAAACAACAAAAAAATCTTCTTTTGAACGATGTTTGTATACAGAGCTCTTTGTTATTGACTAATTGTTAATTAGACACCTACTTCATCAATAGTCAGTAAAGTAGATTCCTATTTATCCACCAACCTATACCGAAGTATCTTTATGGTAACTTTCAGTAACGTAGATTCCTTTATACCATAAAGCCTTGTAGATTTTTGCTTTGTTATCAATCGATATTAATATACCTCTTTTATTAGACGTGAGAAATGTTTGTTACAGTAGGTTTTGTTTAATTTTTATCGTTTTATTGTTTGAGCAGATAATAGGATAAAATAACAATAATATTCTATCAATCATGTACAAATATTTCATAATTGTAGAAAACCATTCTAGTGTTCGCAGAAAGTTATAATACATTATTTTAAACTACTGAAACATAATATCCTTTAATCTATTCAATTAATTATAAAAGCGATCAATCCCAAATAAGTGGTGTATGCGCATGAAAGATATAGACAAGCATAATAAAACTACTCTTGAAAATTATTCATTATTACACATGACTTTTGCAAAGGATAAAACATTTTCCAAAAATCTAATAATATAAACTCATGTAAAATAACTTTATCTTTCGAATGAGTCTTTGTTAACCAAAATCGGACAAATATTGTGATCATTCATGATATAAACTCATGCAACATATTATTAATAATCTACTTCATTTCTCTTTTCTTTGAATAAAATTTGTTATTCTATAGGAAGTAGAGAAGATAATATCGTACATAAAATATTATATTCCATATTCCATTATGATTTATAATAAATAAATATAATATAATTAAATATTTCATAATTTAAATTTATTATTAAATTGTGTAATGTATATACGTATGGAATCTTCTGTCCACTCGTGTTAGTCATAGTTTTAAACGATCTACTGCATATTGTGGTAAACAATAAATCGAATTTACTTTATTCAATGAATAATCAGTATGCATTAACGATAATGCAGCAAGTACAAATAATCTATGAATAATATCAGCGATATCATCACGTCTATCGCCAAAGCTTCCATTATCAATATCTTGACACGTCAAAACGTTATCTACCTATAATACAAGAAATGAAGATATTTGTATATGGTAGAAGAAGTGCCCAACGTACCTTTAAAACATTATTTTTTAATTACACGTTCAATGCCATACAGTTCAGCAGTGAAAAGCTTTCAATTTATCTATATCGTCATCGACCACACAAACTTTCATCTGTTCATTCGCTCGACACTGGATATTCGACATTGCTGAAGTAAAACAACCGATGTGCTCTCCTACACTCATGCCTAGTGTTTTATATTGTATGTAATCGTGCTTTTCTCTCTTTCACATCTGTCATACACGTGTACATTTGTTTAGAGTAATGGCGAACGAACTTCATCTGGTCCAAGTACGTTTGGACATTGCACGTGGACTAATACTCATTCTGATAGCTATCATAGTTTACATTTATTTTTTATATTTATATTTATATATTATACAAATTATATGCCATAAACTGTAGAAGCAGCATGTACCATGGATTTTATATTCTAAAGTCAATAAATCGCAATGCTAGAAATAAAGATAATAATTTCCATTGTTAATAAGTTATATCATTAAAATAAATCTGTTAGTAATAGTTGAAGAAATTCTGATAAAAATGAATGTTATATTAAAGCCGGCCAGACCTGTAAGATTAAAATTTTAAAGAAGAATTAAATTGTATATTATATATAAAAATGTAATAAATATATTATTAATATATTATGTTTTTATACATAATAAATTCCGTACGTGATGACAGATCTATAGCAGATGTAAATTATTAATCGTACAATCTAGGAACTGTAAAAGAACTGTACACAAGGATCTCATGCAATTTTATATAATAAATAATCAATGGATAAAGACTTTGATGAACATTCTTACTGTTAATTCCTAAATTCTTATAAATTAGTTTTTTTAGAAACTAGTAAAACTTCAGTAATGCATACTTATAGATTTTCTTGTACATGCTCGATATTTGATACCAATTAACCCTTTCTCTACCTATAACATGTCGTCGGGCAATGTATTAATTTTCTTTTAATGAGATTT